GGGGCCGGGACGATGACTCTGGAGTCCATGATGGCGTGCTGCCTCAGCGATGAGGTGAAGGAGTCCAAGCGGATCAACGCCGAGATCGAGAAGCAGCTGCGGCGGGACAAGCGCGACGCCCGGCGCGAGCTGAAGCTGCTGCTGCTCGGTGAGTGGGGCCGGGCCTGCCGGGGTCCCGCGGGCCAGCAGCGGGTGTCGGCGCGGGCCGGGTGGGGCCGAGCCTGCCGTGCTGCCCGCGGCCCGTGCCCCGTGCCCATCCCTGCCCGTGCAGTCCGCAGCACGCCCCAGGCTCCTGCGGGGCCGGCCCCCGCCTGTGCTGTCCACCGCCGGTCCCAGCCCCTGGGTGTGTGTCGGGGGGGTGTCAGCCCTGCCTGTGAGGTCCGGATCCGGCCCTAGGTTCCTCCAGGGTCAGCCGTGCCTGCGCTGCCCATGTGGGGCTTCCGGAGTCCCCCAGGGCCAGCCCCTGCTTCTGCTGTGCACCTCAGGTGTCCAGGTCCTTGTGGGGTCAGCCCTGCCTCCCTTGTCCAGACCAGGCCCCCGGCTCCTTCAGGGGCAGGCCCTGCCTCTACTGTCCGGGGTCGGGGGGCGCCCCAGAACCCTCGAGGGCCGACCCTGTGCCACTTCTCAGCCAGCGATCCCCTTGCGCACACAGGGCTGGCCCTTTGTCCCTGCTCTACTGGATGTACCCCCCTCGCTGCCCCAGCATCTGTTCAGGGCCAGACCTCTGGGCTGCAGTCCACAAGCTGTGCCCCTCACCTCCCAGGATCTTGTCTTGGTTCTTCCCAGCAGGTGGAGCCCTGTTCCTGCGTGCAGGGTCTGTCCCCCTCTAGCACCCCATTCCCTCTGTGGGAAAACTGTTTCCCTCCTGAATGGGGTACACCCTTTGCGGGAGAAGACAGCCTTTCCTTCCCTTGGGGCGCCTGTTTTAGGCGGAGGCCAGGGCGGGGGCCCCGCAGGAGCCTTTGCGGATCCTCAGAGCTGGCCAGCTCACCACCCTTCCCCAAACCCTTTCCTTTCGTCTTGGTGGGAGCCGCTCTCCCAGGTCCTCTCCCTCCTGGAGAAAATTCCTGTCCCAGTCTCCAGGGTCCCGGTCTCCATCTCCCCAGGGCACACCTGTTGTAGGGAGCACGTCGGCCCAGCTGTTGGCAAAGTGCTGTCACCCAGAGGAGGGTTGTTGAAGGACTCTACCGCCAAAGACAGGAAGGTCGTTTACAAAACAGAAACCCTTGCCCTGCCCTTCTCCTGAGCTCTGCTTCATTCCCGGACTGCAGGGAAGGTTGGAAATGCTTACCCGCTCTCAGAGGTAGCTTGGATGGGCTCCAGGTGGGAGGGGGCGCTGTCACAAGCGGGTCGGCGAGGGGTGGGGTGCGCCGGAAGGGTGGTGGAGGGCTCAGAGGAGCGGAGTCTGCAGGTGAATGAGCCGTGTTGGTGGCCCTGTGGGAGGCCGCAGGTCTTGGCGGGAATGCATTGCTTCTCTTGCCTGCAGTGGTCCTGCTGGGCCCTCCATTTGATGAAGTACCTTCCCTATTTTTTTTTTTTTTACAGACATGTTTCAGTTTACTTAAAGACCATACGATAGGCCAACTTTGCAGAAAAGGCAGAGAGTAACCTTCAAGTTTGGAGGAGACTTGCAGTGGGTCTGGGGGGCTTCTGGGGGGACAGCGTGGCACTGGCTGGTTTTGCAGTGTGACACAGACTTGATTATGGGACGGGGACTTTAGGAAGTTACTGGCGTGTTAACGATATTGCCTGATCCTTTGCCTGCGGGCTGCATGACCCTCCAGATGTCCCTGCCACCTGTCCTGAGCACCCCAGGTTTGGATTGAGCTGGGGTTCAGGGAGGCAGGTCAGGAGCTCACGCTTCTGCAGCCTTGGTGTGTATCTGCAGTCTCCCTGGATTGGGAGACCCAGCATGGCCACCTGCCCAAAGTGTCTCGTGCCTGTCTGTGGGCTGGGGTGTCGGCAGCAGGAGTAACTGTCTACGGTCCCACACTGCCGCCGCCCTGTGACCCTAGAGAGGCACCCAGCCCTCCCCCTGTCAGCCTGCACTATGGGAAATCATGCACCCGTTTCAGGGCGTTGTTAAGTTCTAGGTATCGGGGAGCAGGTGGGAAAATGAGGAAGAAGTGAGCTTGCACGTCCAAAGTGGAGGTCTGTGGCGGGAGGAAGACAGCTGTCAATGCTGGGGTGGGGCTGAGCAGCATCCCTGGCCCGACGCACTGGATGCCAGGAGCACCCCCCGTCATGACAGCCACAGACGCCCCCAGATACTGCCTGCCGGGCCCCCCTCCCCCCAGTGCCCTGTGGTAGTGCATGGTATCAAATGCGCCTTGTAGAACTGGGGTATGGTCAGCGGGTGTTTCGTGGGTGCTTACGAAGTGGGTACTTCTGTGCGCGTGTGCATGCAGCGCGCACTGTGCGTCTGAACGTGTAGAAGGCAGGCATTCAGCTCCACGAGGTGCTGTTGCTCCAGGCCGAGTTCTTGTTAGCGTTTAGTCTGGTTGGGAACGGGAGTGGGGGGCAGGGCTGTGCAGCGAGTGCGCAGTCCTGAGAACTCACTATCATTCTCCCATTTTAGGGAACAGAACCCTGAGGTCGGGGGGGGATGCTGCAAACCAGTTAGGAGCTCTTGGGGTGGGGGTCCCAGGCCGGCCCGGCTGGTTTCTGCCTCCCGTGACCTCTCCTGGGCAAGTCCTTTGCTGTCGTGTTTCTGTCACTTGGTAGAAAACCACTGAGGAGGCCCCTTGTCTGTTCCTTAGGGCAGGTTTCCTGTTTGAAAATTGAGGTCTTCCACGGGAACGTTGGTTACTGGAGGTGCAGCATGCTGGCCCGGCTGGGCCGGTGCGGCTCTGGGATTTCTAAATAAAGCAGGGCGGTCAGTTCCACAGGCTTCCTGTCGGCTCTGCCGGCCCCCAAAGGGCAGTGAAAAGGCCCGGAATCTGGCATGGGGTGTGGTGGCTCTGGTGGGAAGGGCGCGCCTCCCAGTGCTTTGAGGCGCGGAGTGGAGTGTGGTCACTGGCTCCAGGCAGAGTGGTCAGGCTGCATCCCCTGCCGCCTGGGAGAGCGGGGAGCACCCTCGGGGAGCCTCTCGTGCACCCCTGGATGGCCCCTGGGCTGCGTTAGGACCGTGACCCACCCCAGCATGTGCCTTATGCCCCTTAAATTTAAATTAAGTTTCTTTGCCCGAACGGTCCGCTTTCTTTGGGCGCAGTGCCTGGAAGTGCTGCGGGATTGCTCTGAGACCGCCCTCTCCCTCAGTTTCCCTGCGTGTACCCGGACGACGCCAGCGCCTGCTCACAGCTCTCTCCCCGCCTTGCCATGGGGCCTGATAGAGGTCAGCTAGCGTGGGGCCCTCTGAGCTCGGCCACCAGCCGCCATGTGTGTCCCGCCGCTGGGGCCGCTGGGGTCACGGGGGTCACTGGGGGTCACTGGGGCCAGGGCCAGACTCTGAACTCACATTGGCACAGATGATCACAGTGCTCCCCGGCTCTGCTCCCGCCCTGCGTGCCCCGGACCGCTGGTGGGCCGGTCTCTGCGGTGGGACATGAGGAAGTGTTCCGTATTAGGTATTTAACCACAGAAGGTTTCACTTTCGTATTTTTGCGCTGGAGCCCTGCTCCGTGCAGCCCCGGGAGCGCGGCCACCGGCATCGCTGCTGGTGGCCCCGGGGTGTTTGGAGCAGTGTGCAGCGAAGCCAGACAGGAGCTTCCAGGAGACCTCGGGGAGGAGGGCTGGGGGGGTGTGTTTGTCCCTCTCTGTCCCAGATGGCGCTGGGTGCAAAGTTCAGCCCAGGGTGGGCGGGGTGGCCGGAGCTGGACAGCAGTCGGGCAGCCGTCGGGAGGAGCGGTCCCATCCCTGGTGCCTGGCCTGCCGTGGTGGCCTGTTAACTGAGGGCCCTGCCAGCTGGGGAGGTGAGCAGCGTGCCAGGGCCCCGGAGGCGCTGCATGCAGGCTGGTCTGGGGGCGGGACTCGGGCTGCTCACAGACCCGGGGTCCGGGCCTCAGGCTTGCTGGTTTGGGGAGTTTGTGCGACCACTCACAGGTGTTTATAGTTGCGTGCTTCTGGGCCTCTGTCACCCCGGGGCCACCGTATCTGTCCTCTGGAGGGCATCTGGCCGGTCGTCGTCGTGGCCCCACGTTGCGGCCACTCACCTGCCGTGCAGGCTCCTGCTCGTTCCCGCCACTGCCCCCACCTTCGGGTCGCTGCCACCCAGGCGCAGAGGGCAGAGCCGTTGGCCTCAGAAATGTTGCTTTAATCGAATTCAGATCCCCCGGGAAGTGGGGTGGGAGTGACTTGGCTCCCCCACCCCCCCAGCTTCGGGTGCTCACAGCCCGTCTGGACACGACTCCCTGCTTGGCCACGCCTGTTGCCACCTGGCGTGTGAGCAGACAGGGACTCCAGGGGCCAGAGCTCATAGTGGCCTTCCTCGTGAGACCGTCCTGCAAGTGGGCGTGGGGGGCTGGCTTTGAGGGCTCCCCTCGGAGCAGTTGGGGCACTCGCCCTGGGGCGAGGCCGTGTCTCCCGTCCTCGCTTCCTTGTCCGTCCCGTGGGCTGGCGCCCCGGGCCCGAGGCACGGTCAGAGGGTTCGGTGGGATGATGCGGCGGAGGCCGGCGGCACGGCGGGCACTCTGCAGGCAGAGGGAGCTGTTTTGTCCTGTCACTGCTGGTGACGGTCCCTTGCGAAAGCCGCTGCGACAGCCCTGGGAGGTGCATGTCCCCACCAGGACCGAGCTGGAAAGTGCCGGAGTGGGGCGTCTGTTCCTGTCTGACTCCGTGACGTGGAGATAATCACAGTGACCTTCTAGGATGGTTGTGAGGGTCAGACGGGGTGGGGGGTGCCACCAGGATTCTCTGCATCCGACCACACTGTCCACCCTGGTCGGCGGTCCCCTCTGCTCCTGAGCAGGGCCTCCTGTCTTGAGCTTGGTCCTCAGACAGGAGGGAGCCTCGATGCCTTTCCTCGTTACCGTTTCTGATTGCTCGCAGCGGGGTGGTGCCGTGCGCACCGCATAAACCCCTCTGGCGGGGCCCAGCAGGAGCTGCTCCTGGCCGGCTTGCCTGGGGGCCGCGGTCAGGCCGCTCCCCGAGGCCTTTGGGGCAAGGGTGTCGGTGGGAGGCAGGTGGGGCTCCGGAGATTCTCTCCGTCTC